GAAAATGGAGATACCAAAATAGATCAGACTCAGAAAGCTAAAGGAGTTAGAGATACATAGTGAAGTATGTACACAACAGTGTACTTCTAGTGATTTGTATAGCTTGAAATATTTTTAATCAAGGTTTATAAAAATGCATAACTTTGTTTTACCTTTTTCTCTCTTTTAGTAATGTTTACACATAGAACACTTGACTGTTGTTTTGGAGGGAAGGGGCAAATATCACTGATGTTTCTGACTCGATTAATGTGGAAGAAAACATCTTTCCTTCTAGTTTTGAGAGAGTTCCTCTTGGTCCTCAGGAGTCCATGACAGACATAGAGCAAACCTCTTTGTCACAAATGCTTTGCAGTGCAGAAAACGAAAATTTGTTTTTATGTTTCAATGTCCTCTTCTCCCTCTCTGCCTTCAACACAGATTTGCCTTCCATAAACACAGAGACCTGTTGGGACCTGATCCCAACAAACTGGTTACCAGTATGTTAGGGACTCTGGACTTTGCTGTGATTCCACCTCGGTGGCATCCCTCAAAAGAGCTGCGGTTCTTGTTTTTAAGATTATGGACTTCTAGACTAGTAATTCTGCCATTTTCATTTCATTTTCTGAAAGTCATGGTTAGCTAGTGAAAAGCTGTTCAACAACAAGCTGAATGTGAAATGTCAACCCTCACTATACACTGTGCCTGTTCTGAGCATCAAATGGATACTGGGTTTTACAGTGGTTTTCTGATTTTGGTGGTCCACTGAAGAAAAGAATTTGAAAGCTTGATATACTGTTAATGATGTACTGCCTGCAATACTATGGCTAAATAGTTTCTCTATAGGAAAAGTATCTCTAATGAAGCTAGAAATAGTTTAAAGGAGGGAAAAAACTTACTACAAATGAATTACATACATACAAAAATAAAGCCAGCTACACTTCTGAGGAAATTAGCTAAAATACGCTATTTTAAAATTTAGGGGTTTTATTTAAAATACAATTTTAGGATACATTTGGTAGAAATATATAATTATAGTAATATGTTTATTTAAGATATGTAGAACTTATGTAGACCACATTATCATAGACACTAATTTAGAATGATTATAAAGTTGTAATTTGTGATCTTATTTCTTTATTTAGTAACTTGTCCCCTCATTCAAAAAACACCTATATATACAGATTTTTTAAAAGGTTTTGTAATACCTTCTAGATTAGTACTAACATGTTTGAATTCTATAAAGAAAATAACTTTTGAATCAACACTTTATGTAAAATCAATTTGAAACTGCTTCCGTATTCAAAATTAAAAGAACATAACTTTTAAAAGATATCTAATTAAAATTCTTTCCTGGATTTATAATATCCACCCCCCCCCATGACTGTACAGAATTTTCCCAAAACAATATTCTTTACTCACTCTCTGAAAACAGAAATCCTGAACAATGTTGGTCAATTAAATTATTTGCCAATATTTTTGAATTTTGCCAGTATTTGCCAATATTTCAAAATTATTGAAACAATAAGGATCTAGTATTTTTTTATTAAAGGTCTTATTTCTGTAAATTATAATGATTTACTCAATTATACCCAAAGAACTTCTTAATTCTCTCTTGATCATAGCTTCCTAAAATTCCTAAAATCACCCCCGCCCTGAAACTGAAGGTCAAATAGATAACAATTTTCTGAACAAAAAAGAACTCTCTGGTACTTAATTTAGGAAATGAGTCCTGGCCCTTAGAAAGCCATTAGAAGTGGGCGAGTAATAGTCATCTTACATAGGCTGATGTCGCTAGTTGTTAAGCATCCAGCACCTCCCTGTATGAGTACAGAGTGGTGAGAGAACAGGTTTGACCCCAGAACCTACCTTCCAACTGGACATTTGCATACTGACTCAAAACATCAGCTAAAACTTAAAAGTCATGAGATTTATTTGATAATGCTAAAAGGATAAAAAAACCAAAAAAACAAAAAACACACCTCAGTCATAATTCCACTGCTGGCAAATGTTACTGTGCCCGTGGAGGAACCCTGGTTTGACCAGAGCCAGTAGAAGGGGAAGGGAGGACCTATTTGTTAGGCCTTCACTGAAAACCTCCCTAGGATCTTGATAATCAGAATTGTCTCATTTCTATTTTTCAGTCTCTTACTACAACTTATCCTTCCAATGTTGGCAGCCAAACTTTAATCTGTGCTTTTCCTAATGTCTTTTTTTAAAAAAACAACATTTTTTGTGAGTTGAAGTGACAGAAGCTGTGCATAGTTCAGTGTTAGGACATGAGCTGGTTAAGTCAGGAACAAGGCAGTGTCCAGTTGCGGAGGCCAAGTCAGCATATTTCCTCCCCTCCCCCTACACACCACCATTTCTACCACCAGCTTTTCATAAGAAAAAGAATCCTACCTGGCCCCACACTCAGAAAGGTGCAAGACTCAGGAAAAAAAAAATCTTTTCCTTTTGCTTCACTTTAATCAGACTCATTGATTTACATTCAGAGAGATGGGGAAAGATGGCATTGTTTTAATAGGCAAAAGAAGCAATCAGAAACAAGTAAAAATTGTTAAAAAATATGAACTCAGTGGAAAGTTGCAAAAGAAACAGAATATTTGATCTCCTATCTCACTGGCATACAAATTTAGAGTCAAAACAGTCCACCTTTAATCCCAAACATGCAAACACTAGGGTGTAAGAGGCAGAAATGAAAACCACACATAAAGGTAGGAAAGCAAACAGAAGTCCCCTGGTCAGCGCCCTGGCATGAAGCAGATCAGTGAGCCTCAGGGACCTTACTGCCCTCTTGCTGCACCCAGAGGCACCTCTCCACCCCCTCCCCCGCCCCCAATGTGGGTCTCCTCACTCTACATCTTCCCCATCAGTCACAGTTTCTGTCATTCTTACTGTAATCAATTGTACAGTTTGCCATTCGATCCCCACTGGGGGCTAGCTGAACCCTAGTTCCTAGCAGTGTCTTCTCCCCACCCTTCTTGGGCCCATCTTTCTCTCTTCCCTGAGTCAGTTTCTGACTAAGGGTTGGTCTCTCTTGCTGGTTTCTCCTCAGGCTGCCTGTGTTCTTCTCTTTACATCCCCTAAACCACCTTCCTCCCCCTGTCATTCCTTCCCACGCCCTCCTCTTGGAACAGTCAAGCTTATCACTCCATTTTGCAGGGCTGAGTTTCTCTCCAGTGTCTGCCTCTGTCCCTGTGCCTATCTGCTTTTCCCCAGATGGGCCTCCCACTCAGCGCTGAGCTCCTCTCCTCCCTGCCCATGCACCTGCCTGAAGTAGCTAGCATATGCTCAGTTTTCTATTTCTTGTATTCCCTTGCCTCTCTACTGCTGGGTGTGCATGAACCATACTAGAAGCTTTCTCTCTGAGATTTTTGTTTTTCACGTGTGGGAAGTTAGCTTTCTGGGCTTCCACTCTCCCATCCCTCCACCCTTAAATGTTTAGGAACATTTTTCAACATAAACTTCTCTGGTGAATACACACATATGACCTGGCATATACATCCACGTACTCAACCAACTCTTTGAAGTGCTCTCCACTGATCATGAGTCTGTCCTGCTTTACCACACGGGTTTATGTACAGCTACGTGTCTCTCCTCGTGTGCCCCAAAATGAGAGGTCTCTCTGAGTTCTCTCAGGTTCACAAGCTCAGCCAGTAAAAGGGTCACACCTTTTCTGTGGCTCTGCCTCTGACTTGACTCTATGCACTTAAATTACCTGGCACTAGTGGGAGCTCAACAGATGTTAAGTCTGTGCTCTACTTGTATTTGTATAACTATGTAAGCCAATGTCTGCGTGTCCCTCTGTCCCTCTTCCATGAGGCCAACTGGGGCATGTTTCCTTGGTATGGATTGGGCTATTTATCAAGATGTCCGCTATGCGTTGTATCTCCTTCCTGCTCCGTCTCTCCTCTCAGAGTAAATAAAAAATGTTACTCGTCCTCCGTATGGAATTCACTTTCCTTATGCAATGCGTCCACTACTGTCTTGCTCAGCTACACATAGTACTGCATGTCCATAAACAGTTTCCCATGTGCCTTGATCTGGGGCTTCTCTTCTCCGTCTCTCTCCCACTTTTTGCCTCCGGAGTGAAAATGTATCCTTGGGTCTGTTCTCCAGTTGCGGCATACACACATTATGTGTGTCCTAGGGTCCGGGAAAGCTGAGTGAGAGGTGATCCCCACCGACTCAGCGCCTGTGTCCATGAGTCACCCTGAGACGCGGCTCCGCTCCTCTTTCCCGAGCGCGGAGGTTCAGCGAGTCTCTCGCCCAGGATTCTGTCCTGTTCCTGGGAGAGGGCTAGTTCCTCGGGCGTCTCTCCTGCGCGGTGTTGTTGTCCCCTGTCCCGGTGCGTCTCCGGGAAGGCGAGGTACCCCAGTGTGTCCCCTCGCTCCACGTAAGAAAGCCGGTGCCCGATAGATGTCTGCGAGTACACTGTGTGCCCCTCCCAGTGAGCGCGCGTGTTGCCAAGTCCATGAAAGCACAAGGGGTGTCCCCTGTCAGCGGAGGGCCTCCGACCCGGTTTCTACTGCTCTACAGTACCGGTGTGTTACCCCCCAAGATGTAGACAGCCGTGCTCCCGGGTGGGGAAGTGGTACGCCGCAGGCGCCCCCACCTCCGCCATGGGAAGCGCGGCCGTTTCACTTGGTCTCCCCCAGCGGATCTCTCCCTCCTCGAGCGGGTCTCTCCCTCCTCGGGGTAGAACCACCAGGAAACCCGAGGGCACCGTCGGAAAGTCCCGCTGCGGCGGCGCACCCGAGTCAGAGCTGCGGCTGCCTCGGCCCCGCCGCCAGGGGCCGCCCGTCCGTCCTCCTTCCTAAGCCCGGTACCCAGGCGGCCCGGGACGGCGGTGTCAGCGACCGTGCCCGGCCCTGTCCAGCCTTGCCACCGCGGGTGCTGCCGGCAGGGCAGCCGTTCCCTCACCCGCGCCCGCCCGCGCTGGGCTGGCGGGCCACAGCGAGACGCAGGGGGCGCAAAGGGCGCCCTCGCCCTCCCCAAGCCCGCCTGGTCTGTCTGCTCACCTTCTGGCTCTGGTAGGTCTCGAGCGCCCGGATCGCCGTCTCCGTGAGCTTCACATGCAGTACAGTGATGTTGTCTTGTCCCAGCCGTCCGCAAGACAGCCCGTAGCGTTTCTCCTCCCGCAGGCCCGCCGCCCCCCCTGCCGCCATCTTAAACTCCCTGGGGTGCCTGTGCCGACGCCGCTCTGGCTGTAGCCTCCACTGCGGCCTCGGTTGCTCGGGCTTCTGCAGCCGCCGCCACAGCTACGGCCATGCCGCTGCTGACGTACAGTCATATACTGCTCCGGGCCAGACCTCCGGCAGCCACCGCCGCCACCCGCCCCACCCTCTAGCCCCCGCGCCCCGCCCCGGGATCGCCTCATTGGCCCCGATCCCCTCCGCGCCGCTCTTATTGGTCATCTTTCGCTCTCACGGGGGCGGGGCCCAAAGTCGCTGGAGTTTTGCTCCTGGGACGGGACGTCCGAGAGAAGCTAAAGACTGACGTCGAGGTGACGCTCCAACTTAATCACTTCTTACGTCACGTCTAGTTGTCTTGATTCGCCGGCTGCCATTGGTCAGGCGGACTTGGGAGATCCCCTACTAATTGGGGATTCAGCTTACCTACTTTGGCTACTTCTAGTCCTGGCCCTTGGAGACAGTAGTAGACAGCAGGAGAGTAGGCAAGGTTCCTTCGATTGTGCAAGGGGTGGGGTCGGGGTTGAGGGTGGGGAGCGGGAGCTGGGGGGAGAGCATTCTCCAAATAAAGACTGCCCCTCGACGGCTTCTTAGGAGATGATGGAGGTTGATTTGTGTTTATGAAGGAAGAGGCAGTAGGCGGAGTCACTGGAGAGCCACTCCTTAAAGATTCATTCTAGTGCTGCTTGCAATCAGTAGGTCTATTATAGGTGTTAAAAGTTGTGTTACATTGTGCGAAGCATCTTAGTACCAAACAATCTCTAAAGTTTACAGTTTGGCAGACATAGCATTATAGAGAATTTAACTTCAGTCTTTTCCTGCCATGTCCAGCTGTGATCTCTGAGGAGCATATTCTGTTCCTTCAGACCTCTCCATAGAGTCAAGTTTGGGCTTTTCTGTGAGAAAAAAAAATTAATTATTGGTTGGGTAGTATCTCTGTTCAAAGCACTGCCAAGGAATAGAAAAACTGTGTCTGACCCAAATTAAAAGAAATATTGACATATCTCATCCTCCAGTTCTGTTGTAGCTCCAGTTTCTATGGTAGGGAAGTAGGAAAAATCTCTAGTTTAAGGCCAGGAGATATGAGCTGTGGAGACTAATGGTGGTGCAGGGGTGGTGGGGAGGCGTGACATATTTTCCATTCCTCAAGTTGCTCCTTGTGTAGGCAGAGCTAGGGGAGGGCACATAATCAAGAGCTCTCTTCAGGCAGTATTTGGATATACTGACAGACATACTTAGAAAGAATTAACTGGTTGATTAAGAGATAAAGAGCAAACCATTGGATGACTTGAAGGACAGATGTACATTTTTAATTTTTTTAATTTTATTTGAGATACCGTTATTTATGTTAAATTATAAAACTCGTTTTGCAGATTCCTCAGAAGGAATTATTATAGGCGATCAGTGATTCACAGTCTTTTTAAATAAAATTGTCGGAATGATACATAGCAGGTTTTTAGAGGCTATAAATCGCACCCGAGAAGATCACTTCTCTTTCTCAAATCCACTGGTGATTTGAACCTTCAGAAAAACACTCCTTCTGGGTTAGTAGCATGACTCCCTAGGGAGTAAGCCACTTAAGACCATGATTTCCAAGGAATATCCAAGTGACTGGTTTTCATGATTCCACTCCTCATCATAATAAATTCCAAAGACTGCAGATTCTGTCAAGCAATGTGTGTATAATATAAATTACAGAATCCTTCTACAGAGAGTGGGTTAAGTGGAAACACCTGTATTAAGTATTCTTCCACAAGACAGCAGTTTGTAAATTGGCTTGAGTTCAATCTACTAGAATTGGCTAGTTGTTAAAACATGATTAACACTGTTAATTTCATTTTCTTCATTGCTAAACACAGAATGTTAATTATCTTAAATTCAATGCATGGAAAAAATAAAGCAACCCAAAAATGGATTAAGAATTTTACTTTGAAGAACAAAACAGAAGTTTTATCACCAGGTTTTTCAACTTTCAAAAAAATTATAATTTTAAAATATCAGCTTTTAAAAAACTTTCAGAAATTCCAAGCCTGTTAGGGAATGAATTGTGTCACTCCCAAAATATATATGCATTATATTGTAAATCCTAACCTGTGATTACAATCCCATTTAGGAATAGGTTTTCTTTATGTTATTGAGATAGTATTAGTATAGGGTGTATCTTAATCTATTTCGAGATATAAAAGCAAATTAAGCCAGTCAGCCAGGGTAAATGAAGGGAAAGAAACGCACCACATACTCAACAAGCAATCTAGAAATAGAAAAAGAAAAGGGAGAAAAAAAATCCCCTAGAGCTGGCAGAGACAGAAAGTCTCCCTTCTCCTAGATCCTGTGCCCTTAATTTGGATTCTGTCCTCCTAAAAAGTGAGAAAAATAGTTTTTGTTAAAGCTACCCACTTGTAGTATTTCTGTTGTAACAACACTATATAAGACAATGTCTTACTCAAATAGTTTATATCTAAATGAATTATAGTCTAAAAAATACTTTAACCATAATTTATGTATACAGTGCTATTTTGTGTTGATCATCATGGAAGCAACTGACCATATATCTAAAACTCTAATTATTTGGAAAGGGTTGACCAGAACAAGTAAAACCTGCATCCCACAGCCTTTCCAGTGAAGAGGGTAAAACCCCCACCCTACATGCAATCTTTGTTTATAGTGTCTTTACCAAGAACTTCTGATGACAGCAAAGGGTGAGAGGAGGGGAGAGGAAGCTGGTTTTCACCGTAGTTTTCAAATGTCTGACCTGTGACCATTTACCTAGTAATTGATTTTTTTTTCTTCTTAATTATGGTTGGATTTTTTTTTCATATTCCCTATTTTAGCAGGAAACTCTGTCTTTTAGTAGTCAATAGCCCCAGAGGACTAGCTTGGCTATGTGCTTTTGAGAAGTGACAACCTTGAAAACCTCTTGCAACAGCTCTATTCTGTGCATCTGAACTTGCCATGAATCAGAATTTACTTGATAACCAACCACCAGCAACAACACATTATTAGAACAAGTTGTTATTTGAAGTAAAAGTACCATGATTACTACAACTAAAGAGAACTTGAAGATCAAAGACTACAACCTTTAAGATGGATTACACCTCAAGAAAGACAACGTAAAAATCTCCACAATTGAACCCGTATGCAAATTATGATAAGCACGGACAATATTAACATTTTCAAGGATATTATTTTACTTAGACCCATAGTCAATGCCCACAGAAACAACAGTCAAACAACCAAACAGTGTTTTGCACTGGTCCATTTGTTGCCTAAGACCTCTTTGCTTGCAAAGAAAAAAAATGGACTTAAATCATCACATCAGATGTGTGTGAAAGCTGGAAAATAGATAAAGAAGACTAAGTCTAAGATATTACTGATTCAAGGCATGTTGTTGTGTGCCTTTGAGTCAGAACCAACCCTCCAGTGGGTTTTCAGAGACAGTAAATCACACTAGAGGACATTGTCCATCCTTCTCCCACAGAGCAACTGGTGTAACAAAACCATGTGCTTTTAGGATTGCTTTACAGCTTCTTACCACTAGGCCACCAGAGCTCCCTGATTGGAAGTATAGTCTTTCCAATATGCTTTGCATCTGAGAACTGAATGACAGAAAACTCGATGCCTTGTGGTATTGGAGAAAAGTAGAAGAGTGCTTAATATATCCCATGAATATATATATAATCTCCAAGGATGCTTTAGGTAGAATATTAAATGATCCAGGAAGTATTAAAAGAAGATGGAAAGAATATACTGAATCGCTGTATCAAAAGGAATTGGCAGACACAAAAGCCAAGAAAGCTTCAGATATGAGCTATCAGATCAAGGGCAGGACAACGGGAGATGGATGTTGAAGGGAGTGGGTAGAAGTGGATGGGTATCCTGGTGGCTGGTGGATGGGGGAACAGGGAAATAAATGAGTAAAGACACGTGTGCCAAGGGCAGGGACAACACAGATACAAATGGTTAACTCTACAATAAGGGATATATCTTTCGCTTTTCTGTAAAACTTTGGTCTGTCTGATACTTCTCTAAATCTGAACATTCAGATTAAGACAGAATAGGAAGAAGGATTGGCCATCAACTTCTGAAATAGCAGGCCTCTGAAAACCCTGTGTACAACACATACTTCGGACATGTTGTAAGGAGGGACCAGTTCTTGGAGAGGGACATCATGCTTGGTAGGGTAAAGGGACAGCACAGGAGGGGAAGGCCCTCTATGAGGTGGATTGATTCAGTGACTGGTGTAATTGAGATGGGTGTATCGGAGATGGGGCGATTGGCACAGGACACAGCAGAGTTTAGGGCTGTTGTACATAGGGTCGCTATGAGTTGCAAAGCGACTTGACGGCACATAACAACAACAACATTAATTTTTGTGCATGTACCGTCAAATCAGATCTGACTGGTACAGGAGGAGATTGCCCCTTCTTCTCCAGCAGAGCATCTGGTGGATTCAAACCACGCTCCTTTGGGATTGCAGTGCACCTTCTTGCCACTAGGACACCAGAGCTCCCTGACACAGAAGAACTTAATGAAACAACATATGAGCAAGAGCCTATGGTGATGAAGGAAGAAGTTCAAGCTGCTTTGAAGGAAATAGCAAAAACTAAGGCCCTAGATATAGATGTTATACCAATTGACATACTTCAGCTAACAGATGCTGCCCTGGACTTACTCACCAGGTTGTGCCAAGAAATCTAGAGAACAACCACTTGGCAAGCTGAAAGAGATCTATATTTGTTCCCATCCCAAAGAAGGGTGACCCAACAGAGTGTGGAAATTATAGAACAATATCATTGATTTCATATGCGAGCAAGATTCTACTGAAGATTGTCCAAAAACGACTGTAACAGCACATTAGCAGAGAACTACCAGAAGTCCAGGCTGGGTTTAGAAGAGGTCATGGTACAAGAGATACTGTAGCTAATGTTAGTGGAGATTGGCTGAAAGCAGGGAATACCAGAGGAATGTCTATCTGTCTTTCGTTGATTATGCAAAGGTGTTTGACTGTGTGGATCATAACAAACTGTGGCTGACTCTCAGAGGAATGGGAATCCCAGAACACTTGATCATGCTAATGTGAAACCTACACTTGTACCAAGAGGCAGTCATCAGAATGGAGCAAGGGAACACTGCATGGTTCAAAA